CCTAAACCCTAAACCGAGACTATGCATCCGCGTACTTTCATTGCTCACTTCGACACGAAACCATCTTGCTGCGCTAAGCCCTGAGACGGCAGGGGGCGAGAAGATGCAAGCCTGATCTTCATCTTTGCACAGAATCTAGGGGCCTAAACAGGTAATTACCTGTATTATTTGGGGGGGTTCCGTCGTATGTTTATAGTATAATGTACCCCAAAACCCTATTCTAATTATTAAGGCCCCTACATTACTCTTGGAGCTACTCTTGCATGTCTGTATGCAAGCAGGCCAGACCCGTTACAGTCGCATGGCACTTCATATCCTTGACTCACACTTGCGACCGACAAGCGGGAGTGGTTTACTTATGTTGCAGTACATAATCCCGAAGGGTCCAAAAGACCCAATAATCAGGTACTTGGGATTCGGATAGTAGTTATGTAGGTTACTATTTGGGAGAATATATGATTATTAGGTACTTGGACCCTTAGAGAATCGGAACTTAATTTCACAGTTGTCATATGCTTCAGACACGTACTGCCGGAAGGGCAGCTTGATAAAAAGCCACGGCAGAGCACGATCAAGATAGATCGGAGACAAGCACCGCCACTTGCCACTACTACTGAAGCTTTAATGTTGAGCATGTTCCTTTGGGTTCTTCATGGCAATTCGACTATGATATGCCCCAACACCCTGTTCGAACTCTTCGGAGAACCTTCAAGCCCTGTTCTAGTCATAAAGGCCTCTGTCAACTTCAATTTACGAGAAGCCACCAAAGGCGCATCGTGATGATCTTCGGGACTGCTGCGCTGCGGCCTCAGCTGTAAAGAGTTGCTGGACATAGCGAAGTGGTTCAAGGTTCACGCGTTCCAGGGTTTATCGGTCTAAGTCTAAGTGTTCACGGTTTAGATTTGGGTTTAAGCGCTCAGGGTTTTGGTGTTTCGGATCTAGTTAGGGTTTGGTGGGCATGCCATCGTGGCGGTCCGGCCCATGTGGCATCAGAGCGGCTTGTGGTTCGTGGCTGTCAGTTGTTGCACCAGTTCCATGAACTGATGCATCAAACCCAACCAGGTACGAGCATGCACTGGCACATGTATTATACGTACATACATGCATACCTACTCACTTATGTATCTGCCAACCCCCCTGATATAACATGTGTATGTGTGTGTATATATATATATACATATGCCTTTCTATCTGTTGTTTATCTGTCCGTTTATCGAGCTATCTATCTAATCTATCTGTCCGTCTATTTATCTTTCCATTTATCTATCAGCCTCTATGCTTCTTTTCCTGCCGCGTCGGCTTTCATGATTACTTAGTTCGCCTTGCCAGCGTTGCATGTTTATCTTCACCTACCTTTACTGGTCCTGGCTGTACCTGGAACTTGGCATGGCGCAGAGCCCTTATACTTTAATCTTTGTACAAACCTTATAAGGGAAGCCCTACAACGACTCATAAACCCTCATAAGAACCCTGGTAAGCCGAATCAGAGCCCCAAAACGAACCCGATACAATCCTTACGAAACCCTACATGCCACCCTAAACCCTAAACCCT